GGGGGGGGGGGGGGGGGGGAACAGAGCGAACACGAACGTAGCCACATGAACTTCGTTTGATAACGGTAGCCCGCAGCCTCATGTATCTTTGTGCCGCTCTAGGTACTCCCGCTCACAGAAAAAAGCAACTCAATACTGTTCGTTGTGCCCTTGGCCCTTGCCTTGACGGTGGTCTTGAGGGTGGCCTCCACGTGCTTCCCCGGGATGCGAGCCTCGCAAACAATCGACTTTCCGCGGCCCTCTACCCAGTTGATCGCGGCCGACTTCTTGTCAGTGCACATGTTGCCAGAAATCGCCACCAGCTCCATCTCAGGGAATTCCTAAGCTCGCAAAATCCAACAGTTTTGACGACAGAGACAGAGCAAGGGCGAGGTGAGAGTGAGTGAGAGAGCTCTGCCATATCTCTTGTCGCAAAAGGTAGTCTAGGAGTCGGCCAATCTGCGCGATCACCCTCGGACCGAGGGCCTTCGTCGTCCAACCCGAACAAAAGCCTGCCCGACACGCACGAAAACGCAAAGGATTTAATGCTGCACCGCCAAAAGGGTTGTTGACATTAACGCAACTGAGCGCCTTGATGCTGAGCATGTCATGCTAGGCGATGACCCTGGATGGGTCGGGCGAACACATGTGAATACATGGCCATGCAGTCATCACATGTACCATCGTCACCAACTTTTTGTCAACAGCTACGACAACCAGCTGCCACCTCCTGCAAGAGATCGACGACCGCCAGAACCCCCTTGGAGACCATGTTCATTCCCATAGCATCTCCGGCGAAGCAGTTGAACCGAAGGTACACGTTGCGGCCGGCCACGGTGGACATCAGCCCCTGCAGCTTGCCTACACGAAAAAAAAAAACGCAAACAAAAACGCGCCCCTGTAGCAATAACCATGTCTCGGGTTCAAAGAACACCAAACGAGAAACCCAGAGGCACAAACAACCCAACAGGTTGCTCCCCGGACACACGACAAACGCGCCGCAAATAAAAAAAGCACCGGGTTGCAACTACAGCAAGCATGCTTCCCTGCAGGCCATAGTCTTGTCGAAGTCTGAACGGGAGTGGGTGTGTGGGTGTGTCAATGCAACATTTTATGCGGCTATTCGATCGCTTGGTACCAAAAGGAGGTAAGAGAGTGAGGACGACTTCTAATACCTGAAAACAGAACTACGTAATCAAAAGCAAAAATCAAGGACAACAGCGGTAGCAGCAGCAAATCACGAGAAATATCGACAACAACCACAACGACAACAATAGACAGACACCCTATCAGCAGAAAAAGAAACACAAAAATTAATACCCAACACAACACCAACAACAGCAGTAGCGGCAGAAAAGCAACACCAAAATCAACGCCGACCACAACAACGACGTTGACAAGCCATCTCACCGAACCGAGTGGTGGTCTGGAAGGCGGCCTTGATGGCCTCGAAGTTCTCCGGCGTCTCCGACCATTTCTTAAGGTCCGCCGCCGCCATCGCGTCGGGCATCCGCAGGCACGGCGCCCGAGTGATACCGTCCTTGAGAAGCGCCGCGCGGCATCCGCCCCCCTGGGAGATGGCCTTGCAGCCGCGGTTGGTGCTGGCAACCAGGCACCCCTGCCAGCGTACCACAAACGAGCAAAACACACAGCAACGGGTTGTTGAAACGTATTTCATGGTGAAGTCCACCTCCCTCGTTGCAGGCGACCAGACACTCCTGCCAGCGTACCACAAACGAACACAAAACACAGCAGCGGGGCGTAATCGCAAATATATTTCCCCCTGGTGCTGGCAAGACCCCCGGGCACAGATGTGACCCCGGTTGGGTCGTCTAGCTAGTAGAAGTGGAGGATGGGGGCCAGAGGGGCAGACGACAGAGTCCAATGATGGGAGAAAAATATAAATATACGGAGTAAATATATATATTGAGCTTCGTACTTGTCGCTGGTTACTTGGGCTAGACGGGGCCAGCGCTAAAGGCTAACTCACCTCGGTGGTGGCCATGGGCACGTACACCTCCTGCCCGTTGAGCGTGAGGGGTCCCACGATGCCCACGGGGATGGGGATGTACCCGCACACGATCTCGCAGTTCGCGCCGAAGATGCGCTCGTAGTCGTAGCCCTGAGGGAGTATAGCCAGAGATACAGTCAAGATAAGTTCCATACGCATAACCAGAACGGGTTTTCAACTTTATTTGTCCTCGATCTACACGCGTCAACAAAATCAAGGGGGCACGCTGAAACAAGGACCCTTTGAGGGAAGGAAATGCTGATTCTGCTCGCGATTAAAACAAACAGAAAGCAGGCACGCTCTGAACAGAAGATTGGCAGCAACGAACCACTACCTTGCCCTTCAACTTCCCCTCGACCTTCGCCCCGACCACCACCAGCGGGATACAACACAACCCAACGCTTGCGCTGGAATAGGAAACAGCAGTGAGCTCAATCTACATCGGTTCACGTACCATTCGATTTGGTGACGCCTCCTGTGGCAGCCGTTGGTGCTTGGGACACCACACCCGAAAAGCTTTGCATATCACCGCCCCCAAACTTGCTGAAAAATCGCGCGCTTGTTCTGGAGCACTCTTTCGTGATCTGCGCCAGCATGCCCACACAACACAACTAACTCCCCGTGTGCTTGGAAAGGAACCAACACAACGAGCACGCACCTCGACGGGGAGGCTCTCCATGGAACGGCCGATGCGCCTCTCGAACAGGCTGCGCCGCACTACGACGGCGCGGGCGTGATCGCCGAGCTTCTTCTCCAGCTGGTGGTCCTTCAGCTTGCCCGTCACGACGCACGCAGCCACCTAGAACACAACAGAAAAACACAGAAAAAAGGCAAAGCATGTAAAGGACAGCGCATGTCCACGCACCCATCGCCGTACACATTGAGCGGCAGGTGGTGACTGACATCGCGCAGCATACACGACTACAAAAACACACGTCGGGTACGAAGCGGAGAATATAACAGGAGTGTCGTTCTCGTTCTGCAACCGTGACTCGAGATATTCCTGGGCCAATGGTCTCAGCCGTTAGCTATGGCGGCGGTACCAGAGCCTTTGATTAATTGGTGTCCGATCGGTCGACTTTCAAACTTCGATCTTATTCCACAACAAATAGCTGGCTGCTCACTGCCCAAAATGATTGACTTCGGAAACATCTCGTCGAGGGCTTTCATCTCCTTGCACCTGTAGGTCGCGTTTCGATAGCAACCCCTTGGCTGTAGAGCAATCAGTCTTGAGGAAAAACTGACTCCACACCTTTTGCAATTCCCGGCGCTGTTTTTACGTTGTACTCCAAGATGTAGAATAGCGACGGCATCGACTGTATTCATACGATATGTATCATACCTCTTCGTCGGTCATGGTCGAATAGTCCTCTCCGTCAGGGACGGGCCCGAGGGCGGGCGGCGGCGTAGCAGCGGTCTTTTCCTTGAGCGATTTCTCGCCGCCTTTGTTGCTGCTGCACGAGGAAGGGTCCGCCACCGGCGGTGTGGAAGAGGAGGCCAGCTGCGGCGTCTCTTTCCCACACATGGTGCCGTTCGAAGCACCTTACCAACGGATGTCGACAGAGAGGGAGGGTACAACACAAGTGACAGGGCGAAAAATACAAGACGAAACCTTGCTGTGAAAACAAGTGTCGAGAGGTTTGACCTGGCACGTCTCGTGACCAGACCATGCCTATTGAAGATCGAGTGTGCTTGCAAACCGCGGCGACAAACGTGCACCACCGTGCACGGCCGCACAATTCGGCAAATCCAGGCGTGCTCCGACCAAAGCTAGACAACGCCTCGAATTCTCCCGCCCTCCTGAAGGTGAACACCTAAAACTCTGCACCACCACCCGAAAGGTTACGCCTGGGGCTCATTGTTCTCACCCTACGTGTGCTGTGCACGTCTACCCCTCGAACACCCTCAAGTCTCAATACCTTTAGCCGGGGGCTCCGCGAACTGCACAGCTCTCTTGCGCTCGGAGGCGTACAGGTGGGTGTCAAGGTGGGAGAGGCCGAAGGAGGAGGGGCTTCTCTCCATTGCGCTCGTGTCCAGGAAAGAGATGCCGAAAAACCCGAAGAAGTACGCCATGCACGCGGACCTTCACAAGAATGGCAGGGGGGAGACAGTATCGTGTGCGAGAGAGAGAGACGTAAGGTTTTTTTTTTGCCCACGCACACGCACGCTAAACTGCTGTGCGTTTGCCGACGTACAAGTACGTCAAGTCCAGGGTAACATCCACCTGGTGTTCCAATCGGGTGAGTATTCAGCCCCCTCTGAACGAGACTTTAGGGCAGGTCTCGACCTCTTGTAACATGGGATATGAGCACCGATGCACCGATGCAAGCCTGGGGATCCTTCAACACACTGCTCTCAGATGTTGCACGTTGACAAACCTCCCGCGTGTGTACCATACACACCACGAACGATGTACCACGAACAAAAACAATACTCATGCCTGTCCTCAAAAGCAGAAAACAGCAGTGTTCGTGTGTGCACGGACGGACTCGATACTAGCAACCAGAGCTTATCACGTTGGTGACTGTCGCACGGGGCAAAATCACTCACCAGATGACGAGGATCGGGAAGAGACCACCGTTCCCGTTCTCGGCGTGGCTCATGGTCCGGTAGTTGAACACCACGTACGTGATGGAGCACACGAACAGCCCGATGAACAGGTAGTTGAGTACCCGCAGCACCTCCCACCGGGGCCTCGGCTCCGCCGGGCGTTGCTTGACGGGCCTGCCGTGAAAATCATTGAGCACAAGGCACCCAGTAGCGGCTGAAAAACGAATTCGCGGAGAACCATACCCCCGCGTCGTGTGCCCACGGGACGAAGATCTCATGTGCGGTGGCAAGGACCGATGGTGTCAAGTGTTGGTGTGTATTTGTTTGTATGGGAACACTGTAATTGTTGATGTTACTGCTGTTCAGTGATGACGATGCCATAACGGGGAGAACTGGAAACTCTCGGGGATTGCGGCCTCCGAGGTACTGGCATGAATGCATCAGCGTCTTCGCGACTGAAAATTCTGCGCGTATTGTAGCGTGGGACAAGACATCAGCAGTGGCATCACCTCCCGCTAGGCTGCTTAGGTCACACTCTCTACAGCCTCCTCCAACGAAAGCACCGAAAACTCCTGCTCCAAGTGCAAGTCCTTTGCTTGTCTCTTCAGGACGGTCATGTCACCAGATGTGTCACGAGCTTAGTGACTTCCTCGTGGGCTTGTCGCCCGTTCTATTTGACTGCTTTCTCAAACGCGCATGAAATCAATTCCTCCACTGTCCTATGTGGCGGTGTCGGTGTCGGCTTCCGTGCTCATGGGTTGCAACCCGGCCGCTGCTGTGTTGTGCTATCAGGGACGGGGAGGACTGCAACACGCCATCCTTCCATCCATCATCATTTTCATGGGCGCTGTTCCAGTCAAGCGCGGCGACTCGCGCGGACTTGGAGCGCGTGATTTGTGTTCCCGGGCATGCCGTGCGATAGAAAAACTCTAGCAACTCTGATCGCCGTGTTGCAGTCCGGCAAAAACGAGCACGAGGGTCGAGAAAAAGGAAAAGTCCTGTTCGGCGTCCGTGCTGTCGTGCACAGAGAAGGTGGGTGGCACAGCTATACCATGCCAATTTTGGTTCCGGCTTGCGTGTTCTCGATAAACGGCAGCACCACCGCGATCAGAATTTTACCATCACAAGCGTTCCTTATCGCGCCCTCGGGCCGGGAAAAAAAAACTCTCGCGCGCTCCAAGTCCATGACGCGCGAGTCTCCGCGCTCGACCAGGACAGCATCCAAGAAAATGATTAGAAGGACGGAGTACTGTGGTCCTCCCCTTCCCCAATAGCAGAATACAGCAGCGGGCGGGTCGCAACCCGTGAGTACGGTAGCCGACACGAGCACATGTATGATACAGAACAATGGAGGGGCTGCTTGCTACAACGTGCATTTGATATTCGAACGCACCCAGACATGCGTGCCCCCCCCAGACGCCCGCTTCTCGAAAGACCCGGGTACGTATGCCGCAGCCGGAGCGTCAAATGGACGGATGGTATACTGCGAATGATGCTCTCTATTTCCTCCTGTTTGCGGCGTCGGCACTTGGTCGATCCCGATGAACCAAGGATGAACAATATATGTAGGTCTTGTGTGCGAACGTTCCTGAACAATTTTCGGAGCTTTTCTACGAGTTCTACGAGTGGCCTTCATCATACGGCGATTTTGTGTACTTCGAGTATTAGTATTTGTTTAGTCCCACGAAGGCGGGGGGG